GGTCGCAACGGCGGGAGGCATGTTTCAGGGAATCCTGTGTAATGCGGCTGACTTGATTCGATTGGGTTACCTCATCCTTTATTGCTTTGGTCACGTATTTATCTCTTGCAAGGTCATCGTATACGTGCCAGACGTTCTCCCAGCCGGTGATAAGCTTCTGGGAAGCTGACTGATGCAACAGTAGTTTTGGCATTAACACACGATCTTTTACGGTATGACTAGGCTACCAGAAACGGTATGTCATTGGACCTGAACATCAGATTTTGATTCTCTTTCAGATGTAAGCATAAATCCGATTCCAGTCATGTCTCCTCGTTCATTTTGGTAGGGTGTGCAACAGAACCAAATATTAACTTTCCAGCGGATAACTTTCCACCGCCAAGTGCAAAATCATTGCGCACCTTACTCCGGATTGAGTAAGACCAGTCAACTTGTAATAAGTTTTCTAAATAATAAAAAGAAAATGATTATTGAAATTAAATAAAGTATTTATGAGCTTTGGTTTAAATCGTGTCCACAGTTCATACTGATTCTATACTTTCTGTTCAGAATGAGTTATGATGGTTACGCGGTTATAGAGGTACTAATTTGCTACCGCATTAATCAGCTTCTTCCAGTTATCTGAGTGTTTTAATTGACTTCATTCTACCTCATTTCTTTTTTCATTTACCCCGGAATTTGACTACAGTACTGCTAGCACCATTTCTTTTATTCCGGATGTACTTGTCAAAATTCATAAATTTAAATTTCCAGACAATATTTGTTACAATAAATCCACGCTTGATTCGCGTTCTACAAGATATTTGATCATTGTAAATGCAGACAAATTTACCATGTTTATTATTCCATTCAGTATGGTGCTTGTCAGAGTATTTATCTTAGAGTCATGGTCAGCACAAAAATCAACATGATCTGTTATTAATGAAACCTTGGACAAGGCCACTGTAAGCATGATCATCCAGGGTAGTGACGGTGTGAAACTGCTTATTTAAGAATCGGCGTGTATATCTGCCCACAAAGCTCATGATTGTCTGACGTTTTTATTTGCTGAATCACCATGTAACTTCTTACTTTGGCACTCTTTGCTACCTTTTCGCTTCGCTGTTTACCCGGCAGATTGCAAATGGTATTCGACTGAACTGTTGGCAATGAAATAAAATTTCAGCGTCATCCTTTTACAGCAGTTCAGTATAGGTTCGGTCTATATCCATCGAAGGATTGCAGGTGAATTTGACTTCTGTTTATGCGGATGGTAACTCTTTTCTCGAACAGATAATTGTGAATGTTTGATTTAATCCCATAACCTTTTTTCCATCCACATGTCCTGTCGAAAATCCTTCTACTGTCATGATCTCTGAGAATTTATTGAAGATTGCGAATTGCCGTTTTGCACCTTTTCTATGAGTGCTCCTTAACGTATTATACGTGTTCTACGCAGTTGACAGTTTGTTAATAGTTAGCATTACTATTTATCTGTCATTTATCGTTTTGCATTCTCATGCTTATCACAACCTCGCAAAAAGTAGTTCCGAAACTGAACTTGCATTGTATTCCACGCACGCTTACAGGTGCTGCTTGAACTGTTAATCATATTCATTATGCACTGTTTACTTGCAGTAGCTGACCACCCTCTGTGTCAGCTTGCGCAAGGACCTGTTTCAAAATGAATGCCGGCAACAGTTTTCATGTTTAGTTGCCTGGGATCTTTCTGCTGTTCAAATATGTCTGCTGCAAGAACTGTGCATCGCCATCGACGCCCTTCTTGACTGCTTCCCTGTACTCTTCACACGAACGGACGAGTTAAATAATTGGTTATTTTTGGCTTCTTTTACATCTTCGTTTTGTAGATCAACTCCTTTGTTGCGGAAACTGGTTTCGAATTGTTTCGTCCTTTTGGACAATGGCGACTACTTTATTTGTAGCCGCATTATCGCATTTCGCATTTTGGAAAAGTAAGCCGGTTTCGATGTTTTCAGATCTGTTTGTTTGACTGTCCCTTTGTACGAGAAGTTTGTGATCGTTTGAGTGGCATGAAATAGAAGCAACATCGTAGCATGGGCATCGCGGTCATTCGCGGCAGACATCGAGGCATAAGGGCATTTGAAAGGTGTGTATTGAGTGATGAGGCCATTTATGTTCCGGTGGTCAGCATGTAATGAGCGGTTTGATATGAACAATGTCGATCGACGTGCATTCGAACCGTTGTGGAGCAACAAGCACTTACGTTCGTCTATCGCACACGTTGACAGGTTGTATTAGTCACTGATAGTTAGCATTCATGAACCAAATTCATCACCAGTGTTAGGCGAGGCGAGAAGTTGAGTTGAGCTTAGTGATGAGTGACAATGCGTTTAAAAAGTTCGCTAATAGGGAGGAAATGGTGGTGCAGCTCCTGACGACTCGTGCGTGAACATGGAAGGCAATGTGTCCGTCGAACTGTACTGCACGACTGTTTGACAAACATCTGCCGCCGTAAGTTCAGGATATGTTTTCTGACATGGCAAGCTTCCGGCTCCCTCTCTGTAAAGGCAGTAAAGTTGTGCAGCATAGCGAAACACAAAGCGCAGATGCTAGATTCGCAGACTGTAAATACGAATCATCTACGACGCTTCAACCGAACTGGCAGCGGTGATCACGCATTGGACCAGAGTTAAATAAGCAGTTTATTTCTATCGTTCTTGCTGCTAGTCATACAGTGAAAAGAGGTATTGGCTTGCAGCCGTACACCGAGTGTCCACATGAGTTGAAAAAGACATTCAGTACAACTTTAGATAAAAATGGAAAGATCATTCACTTCACTGCGACAGGGTCCTCACGCGCCTTGCTCAACTGGTCCTACAACATGAGTCATCTGACTAAACTACCAGCACGCGTTCAGCGCAGCGCAATTGTCTAGTTTGTTTGAAATCGCAACTAACCACTGACTAGCACTCACTTGACGACATCCCTCTAGTGGAGAGTAGGGTTAAAAGCGACATTCACTCTCTGGCAAATTCGATATGCAACACAGCTGTGAAAGTTCATTTCGCTACTCACAAATGTGAAACGTTATGAGGAATCGACTGGAAACAGCGAAGTGCAGTTTAAGCAATGCGGCTTAACATACGGAGCTGATCGGGTAAAGTACTTCCGTTATATCATTTCCAACGATTGTATCACGCAGTTAGATTTAAATCGCATGATCGCCATTGTTTTTAGGACATTCCTAATCTCCCCAATAACTGAGAAGGTTGAATCCCTTTCCAGAACAATCCGTCTAATTGCTAGTTCGATTAGGTCAGTATTGTACAGCATAAACTCCGTCGTTCTAGCAAATGATCACATTCTGTGACAAATTGGCATAACCAGCGCCGCCTTTGATGTATAAGGGCGTTGGAGTTACAACTCCATGTGAAGAACGACTGATCTTTTTCTTTTACTAATGTCTTCTTCTTGAATATTATGTTGGCGAAGATTAGCATAACTCTGTCTGCGATACCGCATGTTCAAACGCACATGGAAGAGGTTAGCGATTCATTAACTGCTTGAATGACAGTTAATCTTCCTCACTTTTCAATCTTTGGTTCAGGGCAGCAGTTAACAAGTATGATGTGTAATCCTTTATGTGCCGAATTCCTTTCGATTCTATCATCAGGGTAATCACTGATTTGCTTGATTATCCTTTGAGGCGTCGAAACACGTTGGTAAATGATGGATTTTTTGTCGCCGTTGTTGATTGTTGTCTTGAATCATGGGTCAGAACGCGAAGACAAGTAACAGGTCTATTCAGTTAATCAACTTGTTGTGCGTAAACCGTCCATTACATATAGTGTTTTTTTCTAAAATCTTAAGCATGGCAGACATCGGCCAGAAGGCTGCTTGAGTGACTGAAATCGAGGTAAATTTGCATTCAGAGTCGAATCCTTTCTACGATGTTGTGCGCGTTGCCTTGTAGCAAGTGGTCTTTTTTGTAAGTTGATACAATGGTGGACATCGTAAATCGAAATCATTCTGCTCATACCAACGGCTCACGATTTAGGTTCTGATTACAGTAGGCAGTACAGAGTATGAATACCTCGTTGATACTTTGGTCGTGCGGTTTATTATCTAACGATGAGATGGTTCTAGAACGATGCCGTATGTTACCGATGATGGAGAGAATGTTGACGTTTCTGGCTCTGAAGAGTTTGGTTCGGAACGGTAAGCGTTAGAAGTTCATTCACTGCTCATTATGCTTACTTTATTTCAGTCCACCTCCCGAAAATTTTCGCAAGCTTCTTGAGCTTCACAACGCCGCTGCATTTCCGGAAGATGAGGACATATCTGATCGTATAGCTCACGAGACTGGCTACATCGATAGCATATTTGCTTATCTGTTCGTCTGGAAACTTATTATTGAATACCTGTCTTGTGTTAGTGAGGAAGTTCGAGCGCGCTTAATCGAACACATGCAAAACACGCATTTGGTAGCTAAATTCTTGTGTTTCGTTCTGCGGATTCTTCCCGAGGACCTTTCGTTTGGTGAAGCGCCAAACGGCAGCCCGTTCAACGAAGCAATCGATTGTTTATGTTTCGACACTCAACAGGAAGTTCAACTAAATTTGCACGACGCGTATTCTCGTTCTCCTCCGTTCGATCTGAGGCGTAAGACATTTCCTCGCACTGGCTGCTTAGTTTTCACGCGCTGTGTCATTTCAGGCCGCCCCAACTTCAAGGAACTGATTCATCAGGCGTTTCTGGACTTCTTCCGATCGTTTCAAGTAGTTCCGGCTGCCGTACGACAGTGGTGGGTAGATAAAAACAAGGCCAAAAGCGCGAAATTCAAAAGGTTTTTACTGCCCTACCTTTTTGCATGTCTGTCTTGTTTGTCGGCAGTTTCGCGCAGCAGTTTCTAGCCTTATTATGTTGTACTTGGTATTGCCAGAGCTCGTTTAATTCACTCCTTTTATGACCGTATGTCTGGTCGATGAGCCGAGAGCAGTAGCATTTTGTCCCCGGAGCTAGTCAGGTTTATCTCGATTATGCTACTGTTCAGTGTCGATCTAGTGGATTAGGGCTATTGTGAATGACTAAACGTCCAGGCTTAGGTTGTAGATATGGCATTAATTCGTCTATCCTACCATTGTTTACTTTGAGTTTTCATTTTTCATCCGTGTAATCGGTAGTGATTACACCTGCTTTGAAGGGTTAAAAGCGACGATCTATATTGCGAGTATTACTTTCCCTCACATGACTATCCTTCAACGTTGTCCGGCTCGTCTCTGTCCTTACATTGCAGATCATGCTCGATTTAAGCCGTATTTTCATCACTGTACGTGACTAATAAGAAAACAGGTTGTATATATGATACCTCTCGCTTTATCTCGTTTATTGGACTGATGGAATGCGTTGGGCAACTACAGTGACGCGCAGGTTGGGATGTGATAAAACAGAATGGTCTTCATTATTGATCTACAGAAATTACTGCAAAGTCTTCTCGGATATGTCGATGACAAAAACTTTTTATGCAGTCAGATAAAATTCTTTATCCTCTTGCATTTTATGGTTTATCGACTGTGCTCAAGAAAGCGTATCAGAACCATCATTAAGAGAATGAAGAAAAGTTGTAATCGTTCGCTTGTCGGTTTTCTTTTCTCTTGCCATGATATAGCACCATATTTGGTTAGCTTTCATAAAGTTGGTGTGCATCGCGATTTCTTTGCCAGCCGACAAGTGCGCGTCATTTATAAAGACCATATCTGCAGCTATTGGACAAGCACGATGTGTAATCACTAATTGTTTTACACTGCAGATATAATAATAGGTAGTACCTTATCTACTGTGCGAAAGTTGAACGATAAGTTGCCTGGCCAGAAACTGAATCCACAGATTTTCGACTACTAAGCCGACCTTCCAGCTGCCCAGTTAACATGGTCTCTCTGTGATGAATATCCCTGACTATTATTTCGTCAATGACAAACCAATAAAATTGTATTGGTATTTGAGAAAGACATGTCTCTCTGCTTAAAAGCCCACCAACAGACTTGCTGTATTTTCTAGTGAGGATGTACGATGCATCGGAACCGTCTTCTCAGAAATTAAGAAATTGAAGTTAAAGTTCATATTTTTTCGCATTACCATCAAGTGAGCACTGTACGCGAAGGATTACTGCTTCAGCGTGTGCTGAAGCAGTAATGCTGAACGATTCAGGTCATTTTTTTAATCAGCGTCCTTTTGCCGACGCAGTGTCAATAGTCACTGAGCACGCCCGCAGACGATGAACAGTGATACGATGCTCTTATATGTACTTTCGTTTTGAAGCCCCCAGGGAAGTTGACTACTGTGCAGCCGTTGATAATTTTATCATCCACTGACACAGTGAAAGATGGCGTGTAGACCTGCGGCATTACAAGTTGAAAATTGCAACTCCTGACGCAGTCTAAATGATAGACATACAAAGGTCATGATGTAAAGATTTCTCGACGATTCTTTGAAGATTAACCAAACTGCAGTGGTTACGCCTAGGTTCACTTACCTTGCCCAAGACATATTTATCTGAGACGAGTGAAAGCATCTGTCACTCCCGAATACTCTCGTCTCGTCCACGCCACGTTTCAAAGTTTGTAACCTGTCTTCATCGTTGAGGAAAAACCACTCCGCCGTACCACTCGATCATTTACTTTCGCCACTGTCCATCTTGGGTACCTATTAGCAGTGAAACAAATGCATGTTAAATCCTGGTCATTCAGAATGCTGATCTTAGAGATTGTAGATGCTTCATTCCTGCTAAGTTACGTCATTGTTCAACTTTGAAAAGTGGGCACATTTTCCCATGTTTCAGGATTCTTTTCTTTTCCGACATCGGTCATATTAACCTGCAATCTTTTGTTGTGTATCATTTTCATTGGCTTTGTTTTTGGCTGTGAGGCAGTGTTCTTAGTCTTTGATTTTGCAGATTCGTGGCCAGGTACATTTCTTCGTTTCTTTGTAAACAAGAAATTCAAACAGTGGCAAATGGTCAAAGACAGTATGGCCAGCTAATGGTAAGCAACTTGTTGTCTTCTATCATTAAGATGCATGAAGATTTTCTGATGCAGTTTCGCGGCGTTTATCGTAACATTTAGAATCTGACAGTGTTTCTGCTTAGGTAACAGAGCTTCTGTAGAATTTGAATACGCTTTAAACAGGGTTGGGTTATACACAACCATACAGTCGATAGATTGGATGAGATATCACGTAGTAGTAGCCGCGCTACGTAAATTTCAACCGTGTTCATACCGTGTTTCAGAATGACTCCCAACGCATGAACAAAATATTTCACTGTTGGCTCTGGCAGCATGAATAATATTTAGAAAGACAAGTAATCCTCTTCTCAGTCATCTTGACGATGATAAAAAACTCCTTTGGCTGCAATGCCGAAAATTGCTCTCCACACAGCTACCAGTGGCTAATGAGTAGATGTCAAACAAACAGTGCACCGTCTTCATCATTTTCAGTTCGGTGAAGAAAATAATCAGGCCGCATCAACATCATCCTTTGTGCAGGTTGGTATGCAACAAGCATATGGGTTCATTCGAAGAGAACGATATAGGTTACCCGTTTGTTTCAGTCCGTTGTAACGCACTCTTATCTCTAAACTAACCAGTCTGTCACGCCCACAATTTGGTTCTGTCCAGGTACGTAGGAGGTTCGAGTGGAACCGGCAGTCAAAGGCAGAGTTGCTCGTTCTCACCGGATTGAATGAGAAGAAAAGCTGGTTGGAGCA